CCAAACTGCAATGAAAAAATAGCCAGGCTTTGTGGTGGGTGCCTGTGATCCCAGCTGCCCTGGAGGCTGAGGCAGGATAATCACCTAAGCAGGAGTTAGAGGTTGCTGTGAGCTATGACAAAACAGCACTCTACCAAGGGTGATAAAGTGAGACTCTGTCTCAAAAAAAAACAAACTCACCAACCTTTTGGCACATAAATTATACCCCAATCAATAAATATTAAAGTATGGTCTCTTTTGGACTTCACAAGACTTTTTCCTTATTATATTATTTCATATAGTATAGTAACTAAAAGTTAGCATCAGTTATGCCTCTACTAAGCCATTTAGCATGAATTTCCACAACCTCCTTGAAGCTTTAATCGTCTTACCTGTATAAATGAGATTTTAAGAGTACTTACTTCAGAGAACTATAGAGATTTAAATTTTGAAATGTATATACAAGACTTAATGTAATGTTGTGCACAGGCACATAGTAGATCCTCAGTGTATAGTAGCTGCAAATTGTTACTAATATAACAAGTACTGTTACTTATTTTAGTCATTTTTCCTTTGATTTCTCTTGTTATCATTTATAGAAAACCCATATAGACAGCTGCCCTGTAACTGTCATGGAAGCATGCCTGGAAAAACAGCAATAGAACTTGGACCTCTGTGGTATGTGCCTAAGAGTAATTACTTATTCAGAATTGTTTTATGTATTGATTTGTTAATTGCTGACGTTTGACTTTATGGTCATTTAAAATGCAAATTTAACGTCAATTTTTAAGTCTAGGCAAATAAGTATGACTACTTCTCCTGTGAACTTGAGGTATTTTCTATTTTCAAATTTTTCACTACCATTATTCTTCCTAGTTTATGACAAAGCTAAAAGCAGTGGGCTGAAAGACATCTAGATCCACACACAAACTAAATAATTCATTTCTGAATAGTGAGAGAGGCTTTCAGTTGATCTTTATAGAACTAGGATGTGACTGAAAATGATTGTGATGAAAATGAAAAGAGAAAAAAAAAAAAAGAAAATGATTGTTATGGCTCAGTGAGTAGGAGCCCAGCCCGGGCCTGCTAAACAACAATGACAACTGCAACCAAAAAATAGCCGGGTGTTGTGGCAGGCGCCTGTAGTCTCAGCTACTTGGGAGGTGGAGGCAAGAGAATTGCGTAAACCCAAGAGTTTGAGGTTACTGTGAGCTGTGATGCTACAGCACTCTACCAAGGGCGACATAGTGAGACTCTGTCTCAAAACAAAAAAGAAAATGATTGTGATAACTTTTTACAGAAGAGCCAACTAATATAAAAGGGCTTACAGGGATTACTTTTTAAGTGAGAAGGGTATGTAAAAGTCTGCCTTTGTTTTAGTTAAAGCTTGTTTAGGTGGGACACAACTGCATATATTTAATATATGTATGCTTTTGTATCATTAGTATCAAGTTCTTGTGTTCTTAATGCCTTAAAGTTGAATTGTTTTTAATCAGAATCCTTAAGTTTGTTTGCTACTAGAGATTTTTGTAGAAATTTGAGATTCTTTTTTTTGAGACAGAGACTTAAGCTGTCTCCCTGGCTGGAGTGTGGTGGCATCATAGCTCACAACAACCTCCAACTCCTGGGCTCAAGCGAGTCTCCTGCTTCTGCCTCCCAAGTAGCTGGGACCACAGGCGTCTGCCACAATGCCTGGCTATTTTTTGGTTGCAGCCATCATCGTTGTTTGGTGGGCCCAGGCTGGATTCGAACCCACCACCTTAGGTGTATGTGGCTGGCACCTTAGCCACTTGAGCCACAGGTACCATGCCAGAATTTGATATTCTTAACAACACTGTGACAAGAGACATTGCAGATTTGTTCCTTGTTACTTTACGAGATCAAGGCTTAGCCATCTACTAAACCCTGAAATTGACCTAGGTGATGAAGGTGTTTGAGCTGATGACCAGTTTTTGTCTTCATCCTATATAAATACTCTTAGATTAAGAATGACCTAGCAGGCTCGGCACCTGTGGCTCAAGTGGCTAAGGTGCCAGCCACATACATCTGAGCTGACAGGTTCAAATCCAGCCCAGGCCCACCAAACAACAATGACGGCTGCAACCAAAAAGTAGCCAGGCGTTGTGGCGGGCACCTATAGTCTCAGCTACTTGGGAGGCAGAGGCAGGAGACTCACTTAAGCCCAGGAGTTGGAGGTTGCT